ATCAAATTTGCAGGCACAAATTTGCAGGGACATTATAATTTAAAAAAAATTCCTATTAAATAATAAAGACTTGATAGTTATTAAAGCAGATAAGACTAAACAATTGGTTATCCTGAATAAACAGTCGTATAACGAAAGAATTGCTAATTTGCTGAATGATAATAAAACGTATAGAACGAATAGGTCAGATCCAGGACCTCCGTTAGTTGATAAAATTAACGATTACCTAAGAAAACTTGAAAAAATGAATTGCATAGATAAACCCCTGAAATTAAAATTAGCACCAACACATTTCATAACACCAAGAATTCATGGACTAATTAAAATTCATAAACAAGACAAACCATTGAGACCAATTGTTAATAATATTAATGGACCCACATACGCATTATCAAAATTTCTCAATAGTTCTTTGAATAACCTAAACTCAATGAATGATTACGACATCAAAAATTCATTAGAGTTAAAAGAAAAGTTAAAATCATTACATCTGGATAATCACATTAAATATGATATTGTAAGCTTTGATGTACAGTCCTTATTCACAAACATACCTTTACAAAAAATGATAGAATTAGTAGAAACAAACTGGGAACATATAGAAGATCACACTGTAATTAAAAATAAAAAATTGTTTATTGAAGGAATTAAACTTTGCACGTTTAATAGCTATTTCAAACAGGATAATAACTATTACAGACAAATTTACGGTCTTCCAATGGGGTCCAGTTTGAGCGTGAATTTGAGTGGTATAGTGTTGAACGATTTAATAACAACACAATTAAAAACAACCAAAATAAAACTGATACTAATTGCTAAGTAGTTGTGAAGTTCGTAATTCGACCGCTAGGGGGCGTAACTGCCATTGAGAAACATAAAGTTCCCGCTATCTCAGAAACTTAGACGATGAGCTATAACTTTGACAAGATCATTTAATAGCTTGGATAATACCGCATCGCTTTTGTTTTGCGATATTTCTCATATCTGTCATAATAAGGGAGGGGGAGGCCAATGCATTTTCATATGTTTACATTTTAATATCTCCTAGACCATTCAACCGATTTGAATGTTTTCGGTGTTGTTTGAAAGAGCATTTTATGCTCTTTTTAAAGATATTTTCAGTAAGACCGTCTGCTTTAAAACAAATGAGCTAGAGGACGTTATCTGCAGCGATTACATATTTTTGTGATTTTTGAAGAAAAGTTAAATGGAACGATACTATTTACTTCACAGACCCTTAGTCACCTTAAAATTTGCTAAATTTTAGTGAAAACCGCATCTCGATATCGCCACCCGTTCTCGAGTTATAGAAGAAAATGTTAAAAACTCGAGTGCCATCAATCGGATCCAGTTACCTCATCGAGAAAAACAAATCACATTACCATGGTAACTGTAAACATGTCATTTACTAACGCAGAAGCGTATGATAGAGCGTATGATGATTTATTTTCAATGTTTCGAATACGATGCAACTGCATGGCAAAAATGTGCAATGCAATTACGACAAAGAAAGACATTTTTCTCTAGAAGTGTTTTTAAGATTGACTTAGCGATTACGGAAAACTGGCAACGTGTAGCCCATTCAGACATCTCTATGAATTCGTAAATCACATTGGTGCGCAATGTGATCCCACATAATCTGGGAACTCCGAAAACAATTGTCCACAAGAGTTCTCAAGAGAATAATATCTCCACCACGTTGTTTTACATCAGGCCTTAACAGATACCGATTATGATAACAGACTGAACTATTACCATTGACTTTTAAATATGATTTGGGCAAATCCAAACCTTTTATCACAAATGCTATGGATGCATGAAGCATCTGTCCACAAGCTGATGTAAACTTGCATAATATGCATTCTTGGTTCGAGCAAAACCCACATTGCTTTCACCCCTTTATCTATTGGGTAGACTAAACGACCTGACTTTTCAAGAAAAACCAATAACCAGGGAAAATATGACAAAACACTAAATACCAGTAAAAACGTGTCCAGGGAAGAGACTTAGCAGCGCTTTTTTTTCGTCGAAACTAGATTAAATAAATGCATCGAGGTTTATGTAAGACATTTCGAACATTAGTGAGCTATTTTTGCCAAAAATTTAAGTTATTCTAAGTGTTTCGGTTTATTTTGTTTTATTATCATTGTTGATGTTTCATTGATCCGTTGGCTTTTCAACACGCCTCAAAAGTAGTTTTGAAGCAGTTCTAAGCTTGGATAAAGTGTGAAGGAAGGTTCTAGATAATAAAATTTTTGTTCTCTCTTATTTGTTTCCTAAGGTAACTTGATCCGATTAAGATATACGAATTTTTAACATTTTCTTTTATAATTCGAGAATGGATGGAGATATCGAGATGCGGTTTTCACTAATATTTAGCAAATTTTATGGTGATTAACGGTCTGTGAAGTAAATAGTACCGTTCCATTTAACTTTTTTTCAAAAATCACAAAAATATGTAACCGCTGCAGATAACGCCCTCTAGCTTATTTGTTTTAAACCAAGCGGTCTTACTGAAAATATCTTTTAAAAGAGCATGAAATGCTCTTTCAAACAAGACCAAAAATATTCAAATCGGTTGAATGGTCCAGGAGATATTAAAATGTAAACATTTGAAAACGCATTGGCCTCCCCCTCCCTTATTATGACAGATATGAAAAATATTGCAAAACAAAAGCGATGCGGTATTATCCAAGCTACTAAATGATGTTGTCAAAGTTATAGCTCATCGTCTAACTTTCTGAGATAGCGGGAATTTTATGTTTCTCTATGGCAGTTACGCCCCCTAGCGGTCGAATTACGAACTTCAAAATAATTTCCAGCTATTTCTCTTGCCCACTTTGCTTATAAGGATTTTTTTCCCAAACCTGTAGGCCTTGCCGTTGTTGAGATACAGCCGCTCCGTACGCTTAACGGGACACCCTGTATAACATTTTATTAGAAAATTTCTACCCTAAAAGATTAGTCAATGATGCTTGGTAGAGAATTAAAAATTCTATTGATAATGATAATCAAGATAACAATACAACTTCTCACATATCGAGACCTACAGAACAATATAAAAAAGAATATTTTTAAGAAGTAAAACAAAAGATAAAACAGAAGGCCAATCATTAATTACACAATATTTCGATAAACATAATCAGAAGAATGATAGTGAACAAGATAATAGAAATATAAATGACGAAACTAATAAAATAACAAATTTGAATAAGTTTTGTAAGATTAAATACATACCGTCATTAACGAATAAAATAACTTCAGTATTCAGAGATGTTCTCCCCAGGATTCTCAATACAAATAATAATACCTTAATAAGGAAAAATTTAGAATCAATTTATATAACAAAAAATATCAATCACGCAGTCAATTTCAAAACTGATGTGGGGAAAATTGGAGCGCATTACGCGAATATCTTAGATAGATTAAATATATAAAGCGAGATAGATAGAAGACGTTTGGGAGTGGTAGAAAGAAAGAACGAATTCCAGTTTTTGGGTAGTAAAATTAACCTTGAAACTTCGTACAATGGTATTTCAAAACAGTTGTACAAGGTGACGCACATACATGTATGCAAAGTAATTTTAAAATATGGTTTTGTTTAAATCATCATATCAAGATTAGAGGTAAACTTTTTTAACATTCGACACCGATTAATTTTTAAATTTTTTGTGTGGTTTGAGATTTTTATGGTCTTTTGTTGTGGTTTTTTTGTAGATAGTATTACGAGTGACTATTTGTAGACTGAAGATGGGAGGTGTTCCCGAAACGTCTCAGATTGATTAATTTATAACAATTACGGAGGAAAAGTGGTCTTTTTTTAAAAACCTTTTTATAAATTATAACTTCAGACTACATGTGTTTATCAAGTCTTTATCAAGTCACCTCCTAAATTTGCGCATTTTTCAATAAGTTTTCGGAATGCTCCAAAAGCTGCCTGTACAGGGTGTCCAAATTTTGATGGGTTTGCAGGGTATCTCAGTTATTATGAAAGATAGAAAATTGCGGCTTTCGCGAACCTGAGCTACTTTTTTGTGAAACTTACAATGGCGAAAACTAAATTTTCATAGCCTTCTTCGTTTTTGATATACAGAGAGTGTTTCAAAATTTACTATTTTCAGACACCCCTGTATCTCGGCTATCCGGAAACGTAAAAACAGGTTCTAATAGATTTTTCACGAAGAATCCAATGGTGCACGTAGAATTTTTCTAGTCATCACGGTTTTTGAGTTATAAAGAGTTATTTTAGAAGTTGAGTATTCAGTATTTGAGTTGTGTTTATAACTCAAAAACCGTTATGACTAGAAAAGCTCTACGTGCACGATTGGATTCCACGTTAAAAAATCTATTAGAACCCGTTTTTACTTTTTTACTAAGTTTCCGGATAGCCGAGATACAGGAGGTCCCTGTATACTCCCTGTATATCAAAAACGAAGACCGTTATAAATATTTGGTTTGCGGCATTGTAAGTTTCACAAAAAAGTAGCTCAGGTTCGCGAAAGCCGCAACTTTCTATTTTTCATAATAACTGAGATACCCTGCAAACCCATCGAAATTTGGACACCTGTACATGCTCTCTAGGAATTGATCGAACTGCATGTGTTATTCTATTTTTTTTTATATTGCGGTGTCATATCGAAATGTATTCTTGGGAAAATCTGTTTTATTCTTCCCCGAACAAAAAAATCCATTATTGTTCGTTCTGGAGATCTGGCCGGCCAAGATATCACGGTCATTCCCTCAAACCATCTTTCGCCAAATTAATTATTTAATTAAAGAATTGGATGGTATGGATTTTTCATTCTGAACAAAACTCCACAAAAAGAGTTTTTCCTTCACTGTCAAGGCTCAATTGATTTTTTAAAAATTGAAAATATGTTGAAAATTAGTCTTTAACCAAACAATTTATCAATTAATATCGAAACATTTTTACCTTTTATAAGAGTCGTTTCATCTATCCGGGGACACACTGTATAAATGTAATTAGGAAAATAAGTTACTTCGTATTGCAGTTCCTGTGATTTTCATAATTTCAACTGAATCTTTCTGTTTTTCATCCAAAACATCTATCCTTAACAATTTTTGACTCAGAAATACAAAGGAATCGTTTAAATTTGGCGATTTTAACTTGTTTGATGAACAAAAGTTTAAACTAATAAACCCATTTTCCTAGAAATCAATTTTAAAAATTAAATCAAAAATTAAATTCTATTTCTAGCATAAACTTACTATTAAATAAATGTTACTTCCGTTACAAAATCTATTTTTTCCGAAATGTTCAAACACAATAATCTTCGTGATATCAAGTTCCAGCGAATCGTGGTGAAATAAAAAGGAACAATTCCTCGAACGATGCTTATTTGAGACGAGAACGGTTACCGAGTCGGATATTCCCATATTGTACGGCAAGAAAAAGTGTTTTTGCGATTTGTTTAAACAGGATAAACTCATATCTGAAACAGAATAATTAAAAATAAGTATGTAATATTATGTATTTGTAGAAAAGATAAATTGTTGTAGTGGGAAATGAAGAGATATATTACCGAATATTGTGCTGTTTTTATTATTTTCAGGCCAAATTAAAGTGCTACCGAAATTTAATGATATTAAAACGACCAGAAAAAATATTATCATACTTTCTTTTTGACATTTTCACTGTCATGTTAAAACGTGTCTACTGACTTTGACAATTTTTTGGGATCTTTCTAAATCTAATAAGTAATAACTCCTATAATATCTGATTGAAAGTTATGTGTATGCAAAAATATACACAAAAACATATGAAGTCATTATATATATTATAGTAGAAAGAACAGTTTGTTATGCTGTAAATAAAAATAGTAGTGGCCCATGGGGGGATCGAACCCGCGACCTTCGCGTTATTAGCACGACGCTCTAACCAACTGAGCTAATGGGCCTTGATCACTCTCAGTTGATAGGATTTTAGACGATTTTCGGTAATTGATGATGAATGTATATGTTACAAGTAAAGCGTGCACTTCAGTTAATGTAAACATTAGCCAGTCAATGTATATGTTGCAGTCATTGTGATTAAATTGCTATTATACATAATGACTGGTCATTATATACAGTGTGTCCCCGGATAGGTGGAACGACTCTTATAAAATGTAAAATTTTTTTGATATTAATTGTCATCTTTTGGGATTCAGCCCTGGTTGGTTAAAGACTAATTTTGAACATATTTTCAAATTTTTAAAAACAAGTGACTGTTGACACTGAAGCGAAAACTTCTTGTGTATCAGGTAAAGTACCTTTTCTATTTACAGTATGATAAAATGTTACTCAGAAATTTTATTCAGAATGAAAAGTTATGGCCATATGCAAATTTTCGGAATCATCGGCCTACTTTGATAAAACCCATTTTTTATTATTTTCATCAATAGTACTTTATTACGATTTTTGTTTTGAGATGCAGATTATTCGGAAAAAATAAACAAACCGTTCTTAAAATGTTAACCAAAAATTAAGTGTGTCGTTAAGTCGTCCACAAAGAAAACAGTTATTCATTAGCTAACACTTAATCAGTTTCATCATAATTTTTTTTTCTTAGAGTGAATACTTCCTGCTGTAAGAAATCTTATGATTAAACGCCAACAAGTACTTCTTTTAATTCCAGTATTTGGAAATTTTTCACTAAATAAAGTAATAACCACATTTATCGGGTCTTCCCCGGTTCCATAACACTGAATCACGTAAACTTTTTCCTCTAATGTTAACAGTGTATTTGAAAAACACTTTAAATTTACTAAATTACAGTTTGACAGATTAACAGTGACAGGAAAGCAATTTTGTTTTTCCATGGCAGTCTGTTAAAAATATAATTGTTTGATATGGATTTTTTCAAAGTAGGCCGATCAATCCGAAAATTTGCATATGGCCATAGTTTTTCATTCTGAACAAAACTTCTTAGTAATACTTTCACGTACTGTAAACAGAAAAGGTACTTTACCTGCCACAAAAAGAGTTTTTCTTTCACTGTCAAGGNCAAGCTGTAACTCTGTCATTTACCTTCCAATTTTCATGACCCAGCTATCAAATGAAATGGTTTGATGAATACTATGATTCATGCTACAAATAAACTTTTTCCAACGCCATCTTCCATTTCAAGCGATTAACAACTTTTGATTTTCAAATTGCTCGGTATGTTTTTCATCCCGTTATTGGATAGAGATTTTTGTTCTGAACTCATTGACGTACAATAGATTAACATTAATTGTAATTTTAGCAGAGAAAAACAATTAAAACATTTTCCGAATATTGTCTCTAGTGTGCCATAGAAAAAAATAACGGGCAAAACTGATAACAGTCATTAAATGTTATTTCAATGCCCGAAGCAGTTGTAAATGATATTTATAAGTTGTTTTTTCATTTTTCNTGTAAACAGAAAAGGTACTTTACCTGCCACAAAAAGAGTTTTTCTTTCACTGTCAAGGCTCACTTGTTTTTAAAAAATTGAAAATATGTTTAAAATTAGTCTTTAATCAAGCAGGGCTAAACCCCAAAAAATGACAACTAATATCGAAAAATATTTACCTTTTATAAGAGTCGTTTCACCTATCCGGGGACACACTGTATAATAACGAAATTGTCTAAACAATGTGATAAATTAATCAGTTTATCCGGACATTATTCATAACAGTTGTTCAAAGTTAGCCAAAGTAATAAATACAATCCAACTAACATGTTACCTCAGTACATCAGCTAAACACTGACACATTTAGTACATCAGCTAAAGTCGGATTAAATAGTCTTCCTAAAGAGGTGCTAGTTGAACTATCAACAGAAGAAGAGCTAGAATCTATATTAAATGAAGACGAAAACCAGTTGCATGAGGAGAGGGAAGCCGAGCCCAATATTACCGACCCTGTGATTAATGAAGAGGAAGAAATCGAAAGCGATACTATAATTTCAAACGCTGATTTGCAAAATGAAATTGTAGATAAGCTAACAGGAAAACCTAATAAGGAGACCGACAACCAAGAAAATACTACAGGTCTCTCAAATATAACGCNTGTTACGCACTTTGAGCATTTGAAACTTCATTACGGATCTCAGAACTTTCGATGACGGGGCTTTGTTGATGTTGAGCCTCTAGAGGTTGATTTTGTGTCCGAACTCGATCTACTATTAAAGATTCTGAAAGAATCAGAATACTTGGTGATGACTTAATCATATTTTCTAGATCCTCTTCACTCTCCAGGTTGTGAGTATCATCGAGAGGTAAAGATATACCAACTTTTACTTTAGATCCAAAAAGAGCTTAGTAAGGTGTTCTTTTGATGCCTGAATGGAATGCTTTATTCTTCATGAGTTGTACAAAGCGCAGACCATCACTCCAACGATTACTGTCAGTATCTTGCATCCAAGTTGTTAGCATATTTTCTATGTCCTGGTTTGCTCGTTCGACACTCCCCTGACTTTGGGAATGTCTAGGCTTACCATGTACAATTTTTAAAGTTGGCCAGTACGTTTTAAGACTGCTTACAATTTGGTTTGAGAATTCTCTACCATTGTCTGATTGTAGGATCGCTGGTGCGCCAATCANTTTTTTTTATTTTTTCCCATGGCACACTACAGTATACCACAAGTGACTTTAAGAGAATGTTCGGAAACTATTTTAATGTTTTTCTCTACTACAATTATAATTAATGTTGATGTATTGTACATTCATGGATTCAGAAAAAAAATCTCTATCCAATAACGTGAAGAGAAACATACCGAGCAGTTTGAAAATCAAAAGTTGATAATCGCTTTAAATTGAAGATGGTGTTGGAATAAGTTTATTTGTAGCATGAATCATAGTATTCAGCAAACCTTTTCATTTGATACCTCGCTCATGAAAATCGGAATGTAAATGATAGAATTACAGCTTGCGGCATTCTTGTGTGAAAACCTGTATCTACAGGTGTGTTTTCTCTGCTAAACTTACATTCAAAATAGATGTATTGTACATCAATGGATTCAGAAGAACAATCTCTATCCAATGACATGAAGAACAATATATGGAGCAATTTGAAAAACCAAAGGTAATAATCGTTTAAAATTGAAGATGGCGGTGGAAAAAATTATTTGTAGCATGAATCATAGTATTTATAAAACCATTTCATTTGATACCTAGGCCATGAAAATCGGAATGTAAATAACAGAACCAAAATAGTTTATTGGGATACACGACCAACACGACAAAGGCTAGATAATTGAAAAGAGGCTTCCTTTTATCTTTACCGAAAGCTCTTTGTCGTGTTGGTCGTGTATCCCAATAAACTACTTTAGTTCCTAACAGTAACGACCGTTACTACTCCTAAATTGTAAATAACAGAGTTACAGCTTGGGGCGTTTCTTGTGTGACACCCTGTATATAAACTATACAGGGTCATGCACGACGACCGTCCATTAGAACTTTACAGGGTTGTGGCCAAAATACAAATTTTAAAATTCAGATTTAAGTATTATCAATTGCGTTCTCTTCGACTAAAATATTTTCAAATATCTAACACTTCCGGTTATACCGGAAGTCGCCACCTACTTTATGTTTTTAAATGGAACACCCTGTATATTTTTACATATTTGGATTTGTCTGTTTTCAAGGTTTATGAAAGACTTTACTTTTTGCAATTTGATTCGGCCGTTCTCTAGTTATTCGAATTTTTCTACAAAAATCTGCTCCAGCAGACATTTGTTCAAAAACTCAGAGAACACTCGATTTTTGGGATATCAATTTAGGATTCAGAACATGCTTAAGCAACATGATGGAGTATGTTTTGGTGCCGAGTATGGCTGTCTGGAACGTTTGGTCAGTTTACTATGGCACGTTACCTTTTCGAAACTTGGAAATACCATAACTTCATTTCTTTAAATGGCACCCCCCATATGTGCCCCATATTGTGTAAAAATGTACACAAATATCGATATTTAACCTAGTGTGTCATGACTACCTAGTGCAACCTAGTGAATAACCGAATGAAGTGGAGGTTTGAAAATTTACAGACTTGTGATGTTTGATGCCAGCTTTTTAACTAAAGTATTTTCAGGTTCCGGGTACTTGTGGTTAACCCGGAAGAGGTGACAATTTTCATATTTTAAATGGAACACCCTGAGTTTTATAACATTTTTCAATCAAAAATATCAACTACAACGTTACTTTATAAATCATCTACTTTGACCGCCGGAAGAAAAATTTTGTTTTGGGAATGTTGTTGTGGTTATGTATTATCAGAGGATCAGTAAGGAAAGAGTAAACAGTTTGACATTTGCTAAAGCTATGGTTTATTTCTGTTGGTGTGATGACTAGGTTACTTTTTGTAGTGATCTGTTCTCAAGAAATGCCACGTTTGGAATTTAGTAATGAGGATTATTGGAATTTGATAATAATTTATGGAGAGTGCAACCAAATAATTACGCGGACGTGTCGGCTGCAACATACAGGGGTCTAAAAATGAACCAAAATTTCAAAAATGTAATGAAATACAGAGTGTTCCATTTGAAATATGAAAATTGTTACCTCTTCCGGTGTAACCGCAAGCACCCGGAAACTGAAAATATTTTGTGATAGAATCCATGTTGCAAGATTTTTATATAATTAAGAAATAAAAGACAATAACTTCTTTCTTGCTTTTTTATATTAAATTTCCTCGGTACCAGCTTCG